CAGGTCGATGACCTCCTCTCCAAGACCGACGTGGTAACCCCCGCCCCTCCTAACCTCGGTATTAAACTCTGTCTCGCCTCGGCAGTGATCTGCAGAACTGACTCTGGTTGGTGTGGCATGTGTGTTGCAGCTGGAGAAGAGGGTGAATGAGGTGGTAGGGTTCTACAATAACAAGAAGCACAGCAGTGGAGGGCGCAAGGCTGGCGGCAGGTACGCGGCAAACGGTGCCAGGGACAGCCACGGCAATGGGATGCCCGACCTCATGCGCCAGTTTGCCGGTATCATTCGCCAGGTGATGATCTTTCTTCTGCTATGCTTTATCCCATGATTCATTATGTCAATTTATGCTGTTGCTTGTGTAGTCGTGTTTGCTGGCTTAGTCATGTTATATTCTTGCATCCTGGAGCATGTTCTACAAAGTCGGCTTGGTGCTAAGTTTGTAATTCGCAGGTTAATTTAGAACAATTTGCAGTGCTTTTTTCTATCTCACAGATCTTATTAATAAATATGGCGACCTAGATGCTTGTAGATATTGCCAGCACATACTGCCTCTGTTCTTTCCAGCAAGAGAGATTTCTGCTGGAAAATCAAGTTTTCTGTCTCAAGTTTCGAACACTCCTAAATCTGTGTTTGCTTCCATGAACAGGGATAAAGCATACAATCTAGTTCTTTTTGGCTGTTATTGGTACTCCATTCTCTATTTCTGGTCTTATAGCATAGTGCATGAAATAAGACTAAAAAATTGGTCTCGAGCTTGTGCCAAATGAGATCATCTGAACGTAAACAATTCCTTGTGATGAATTTTAAAAGCAGCTTTTTATTGGTAGTGTATTTGAGATTGATTCGACCACTATATGTGGACAACCTTTTTTAATCTAGTTTTCTACGACCTAATACTCAATACAAAGTTAATGGTTCTTGGGCACCTTCAAATTTGTATTGAGCTACTGCAGTTAAAATCACAAAATGTGTGATCTCTTTTCCCTATGAAAAGATTTCTGTTGATCTTTACAAATTTTGGCACTTGATCTTCTCTGCTATATTCATTTTCTTCCAGATTACATCTCATGAATGGGCACAGCCGTTTTTGCAACCGGTAGATGTCGTAGGTCTTCAACTTGATGACTATCACCAGGTAATATTGCCAGTACATTTTGGTCTAAATGTAAATCAGTTTTGATTATATTTTTGTGTTACCTGATGTTGGCAAGCAATCAGGATCTGAAAAAAGAAAGCAGGTTTTATTGATATCACCATACTCCTGAGTTGCTGCAGGATTTGTGCTTTTCTGTCTCCAACATACTTTCAGTTGACATGTTGTTGCATTTTATTAGAATATTTTCTATCTCAATGGAAAAACATAATCCTGTATATGCTTTGAAATCCAAATACTGTAAATCTATTTGTTTTATCGCTATTTTTTGCCTTCTTCCGTGTACATGAAATTGAAAACCATTGCTTGGAACTCCAAATACTGTAATCACCCCTAATCTATAGAAGGAAAATCTGGCATATTAGGCTATCTGTTTCTTATGTAACTATTAATTGGTTTGAGACTTGTTATTTACCTTCTTTAGTTTTCTTCGACTTGATGGAGCCCCTGAGTTGTTAGCACATATGTTTCTCTATATTTGGCATATCAATAAGATGGAGTTGCTTTGTTGGTTTCTTTACCTGGATCTTGGTTGTGGTGATTCATATATTTGGTTTCTACATTTTGCAGATTATAACAAAACCTATGGATTTCTCGACCATCCGAAACAAAATGGAAGGGAAGGAAAGTACCACATATAACAGTGTCCGAGAAATATATTCTGATGTTAGATTAGTTTTTACCAATGCAATGAAGTACAATGCTGTAGGTCACCCTGTTCACATAATGGCCAAGTTCCTACTCGAGAGATTTGAGGAGAAATGGCTTCACCTTCTCCCTAAAGTTGAGAATGAGGTGGATATTTGTAGTCGCATATATTACCATTTTTGTTCTGATATGGATATGTGCCATTTAGCGTTTGACAACAGTAAGTTGGGTCCTATTCTTTCAGGAAAGGGAACATGAGGAACCAAATGATGCTCCAACCAAAAACATTTCTCCAGAAGCTGCCATTGCAAAATTAGCTGAAGATACTGGTAATGAGGTTGGCCCTCTCATGTACTGTTATCTCTTTATTGTGTATGTATTGATTGAAGCACTATATACTGACTGGCTCATGTTTAGTATAGATTGTTCAGAAAAATAGGTCCCAGATTTTTTTATCAATGTGTTTCTGTTATTTTTTAGCTTTTGTCTGTTGATGTACCAATAAGAAATCCTTTCTTGACTAAGAGGAGTATACGCCTTGCATATGCACACGCCAATTGCATACTGCTGCAACCCCTTGTGTTAGCTTGTTTGGTTAGATATTCAGCACCTTTTATTTCTTGTCTTGCAGCTGAATGAGATTAACAAGCAGCTGGAGGAGCTCCAGAAAATGGTGGTTCAGAGATGCAGGTTTGTGTTAGTTGTTCATGTCATGCACATCGATTTGACTGTTTGCTATGTATTTTTTTGCGGGGTGTGCGCTGACCCTAAAAAGGTCATACATTTGCTAAGCTCTTGATATTGCAGGAAAATGACCACGGACGAGAAGAGAAAACTCGGCGCAGGTCTTTGCCAATTGTCTCCAGAAGATCTCAACAAGGCGCTAGAGTTGGTCGCCCAAGACAATCCTAGCTTCCAAACTACAGCAGAAGAAGTGGACCTTGACATGGATGCTCAGGTAAAGTCTTTGTGCTAAGTGCTAACCAACCCCCAAGCACTGCTCCTCCAAGCATCACGCATTGGTTATCATGTTAACCAACCGTGCTTCATGTGTGTGTGGGTGCAGAGCGAGACGACCCTCTGGAGGCTGAAGTTCTTTGTGAGGGAAGCATTGGAACAACAGGCGAATGAAAACACGAAGAGGAAGAACGACATGTACAATGCTCTAGCCAAGGCCGATTCGAAACGGATCAAGAGATAACTTTAGCGGCTCGGCCTTTCTGATGGTTCATGGTATTTCTGTAGAAAATAGGGCCATGTTCTCCCTTGTGTGAAGACATGTTGTATATATATACGAAGATGAATCTGCACTAAGATATGCTTGGTCGCACCGGTCTCCTGTGGCATGTGTAGCATGCTATTGGTAGCTATATACGTAAAATAAAGAGCAATGTTGAACTCCTCTGAGAAACAAGAATTGTTCCTCGAAAAAGATAACATCAAATATGGCGAACTGTTTGTTTTGCTACAGGAAATTAACGGTGTGTACTCTGCACATGGCAGTGCGAATGACATGAAAATTCACCAGGAATCCTGACTCAAGAATAAAACAGAGGTGATTGATTTCCCGGTCTTGAGTCTAGATGCCCACTGGTTCACTTGATAGGGCAAATTTTCTAACTCATCAGCTTGCTTGAAGAAGGAATTTTTCTTGGGGGGCTGCACAAAGATAGTCAAAATATATCCCCCCAAAAGAAATGAATCCATGCTTTCGACATGCGTGCCTCAGAGTATTACGCTGCGGATATCACCAGAGCCGCACACTGGTCGTCCGCGGGCACACTCATCCAGAATTCACCGATGCTTTTGCATCATCATCGGCACGCCGAAATCGATCAAACCACGAAGAAAGAAGACATCAACTAAACCGAAAAGAAAAAGATGCCTCGAATCGGAGATCTCACAGGCAAGTCAAGAAGGAGCACAGCGACTGAAACTGACGCAGCACGACCAGCGAAATAAAACAGAATCACAAATTTCAAAGCGGGATAAGAACTCGGGCAGGCAAAGCTGTGTAATTACAGTAGTAGTTACGTAGAAATCAGCAGGCAGCAGGGCTGCCAGACGGGAGATAGATTTTGAGGCTTTTCTCCTTGGTGCGAAAGCGAAACAAATGGTTGCAGCCGGATCCATCCACGCAACTCTGCCCAACTTGTGTCCACATGGTTTTAATCTGACGTTGCTGCAGCATAGTTTTATAACTAGACCAGTGAATGAAACAACTAGGCTGCTGGGTTCGCCGATTCATCAGGTTTGACCGGTAATTTTTTGATAGGTGCAAATAATGTTTTATGTACTGCTGGCATAACAGAGGCGACAGTTGAGACAGCAGATTTGGTTTATAATCTACACATGAGTCGAACATAGGTGAAATGGTTACGGTTCAAACCGCCATCAGGCCGTTCGGCTGTAAGCCTTATTTCCTTACCATTCGCCAAATACCTTTTTCGAAACTGCAGTGTTGCTATTTTTATAATTCACCAGAAATCCTGAACAAGAAAACAAGAGGATTGGTTTCAGGTGTTCAGTCCAGATGCCCATTGCTTTACACTGCTTAAGTTGACAGCACGGATTCTAACTCATTATTAGCTTGCTTAAAGAAGAAATTATTCTTGGGGGCACTGCACAAAATATAACCCATGAGTCCTGACTGACTCATTTCTCCAAGGGCTGAAAGGGATATGTATATGGTCAACTACCATTAGGTAGTACTACTCTCATCCCAACGATCAAGCCTCTGTCTTGTCTGCACTTGGCAGATGGTGTCCCTGCGAAATACACAGTCATGCTTAGATACAATGAAACACCAGTGGCATGGAGTACCCTGCTGCGTCTTGGAAGCTCAAGGAGATCGACTCATCGACATGCCGGCTTGGGGATCACAACGCACAATGAATGTGCCTGTGAGAGAAAAATGACAGAATCATCGTTCCATTGAGCAGAAGGGGACAAAGAAATTAAAGATGGTGCGTATTCTGAAATAGCTCATAGTAACATATAGAAAAAGGTCAACAGTAGAAAATTATTCAAAATTTAGCAGGAGTTCTTGACTGCAACGACTATAGACAGTTGAAAGCAATTTCAAAGAGAGATGTTCCCCTTGCCATTCTTGCCTCCACCGACCTCAAAATTAATGCCTGCGTTATTGTTCAAGACAAAAGGTTGAAAGTGCAACACAGAAGGAAAATAAATCTTTAGTTCAAGAGAAAAGGAACAGATCTTGATGCTGCGCTGGGAGCAGTGCCTGCAGCTCTGGCACTGCAGCTTCAGCACAATATTCCTGGCGGTTTTCGCCTGAAAATGTCAAAAAATTAGCGTTGCACATCTGGCTCTAATCTTTATACCAGACGTTTACATCAACAGACACTATAAGTACATGGCATCATGACAATGAACTGATAGGAAAATCAGAAAAATACTGAACTACAGTATATATCATGTTGGCAGATCAATAGATCATCACACCCAACGATATACCTTCCTGTGGAATACAGGACACTTTTCTGTCATAAACGAAACTTTCCCTGGGCAGACAGGCTGTCTTACCCTTCTTGTACTCAGTGATCTTGTGAAGGGTGTGCTTGCTGCACTCCTTGTTCTTGCAGTTCCAGTAGGTATTCTTGGTCTTCGGAACATTCACCTATATAGCATTTGCAGTAAAAATAATGTTAAAATAGGGTTTGCTTGAACAGATACAGGTTCAGATGACACTGCGATAGCTAAAAAAACTCCAGAAACGAGCTCACCAAATGCTCAAAAAATACACGGAAAACCTCTGGTACAAACTTGCGTTAGGTCCTCAGAGACATGCCTATGGCTGCCATCATAAGAATAATCGGGTCTCAGAGATTCCATGCCATCGTAGGACCCCATAATTAAAATATCAAATATTAAACGATAAGGACTGAAAAGATATATCACTTGGCAAGAAAGAAGAATGCCTCATAGGTTCAGGTGAAAATTTAGAAGAAATTAATGACAACTGGTTATCTGCTCAGGGCAATGCATGCAAACAACGGACCTGTCGGATTAGCTTTAGGTTAGCTCGGTAAAGTACACAAGAAGGCTCAGATGTCAAAAGCACCAAACAAAATCACTGGATACTCCACAATATGGTCAACCACATTGGTTTTAGATGTAGTATCATGCAATGTGAAGTTGCATGAAGCACACCCTTCACAATGTCATTTGAATATATGGCACACTCAAAGATGCATGAATACAAGATATAGTCGACCTAACGACAGAATAAAAACTAAACTAGATTTGTTTCAGACATGACGAGGGATCCATTCCATCTAGAAAGAAAGGGCATCTGCCTGATACACCCTCCGTTCCAAATTACTCGTCGTGGTTTTAGTTCAAATTTGAACTAAAACCACGACGAGTAATTTGGAACGGAGGGAGTATAAACTAGTACAGCTGCTTTTAGAACTAATGCTCATCTCATACGTGTAACTAGGAAACTAAAGCAGTATAAATCAAGTGCAAATACAAATAAGTATGCATACAGCTCATCAGTACACAGAAATGTAGTGTGCACATAATGAACATAACGGCAAAACCTGATTACAGTAAACAGAATGGACAGCAATTCAATCCTGTGCTTTTACAATCAGAAGCATTGAGTGTATCATTGGAAATAATCACGTGATTATCAAAAACATGGACCAATTGTTCTTCATCATATTCCAAACTACTGTCAAGTTTGCTAAAATAATGAGAGAACATAACAAACAAACCCTGCGCATCTAGTTAGTACTTACTGTTTCTCTTCCTGCATCATGGAGATAAGATAACAAGGAGAAAACTGTTGTGAGATGAATCTTTCCTCAAAAAAAGCATGTGTGCTGCTGATTTGACATTCAGGATGAGTACGAGAAATTTATCTCCAAATAGATCAGAAACCAATTCTCTTCCTCATTATGCCAGCGACACAATTATATGAAAAGAAGTGGAGAAAACAGGCAAAGGAACAGAAGGAGCAAATATTCTCTCAGGCAAATGCCACAATTGTCCAAGTGGTTTGATAGAATGGATTACATCAGATTCATCATCTGTTTTCATCATCACAGAAAAGTATGAAAATGCACATAAATGATCTAATCTCACATAATACCTAGTTACTCATCCATGCCTTGCTAAACTAATTCAACTCAATGCAGGGCTCTGCCGCCGGCCTCTTCGCAGCTTTCCCTCGCATGCCCCCTTTCTTCTGGCCGGCGGCACCCATCTTCCCTTGCCCTCCCTTGGTGCCTCCTTTGCCACTCCTTCCCTTCTTCCTGCTTCTGCGAACACATCCTGACTGAACCACTGCTTTACAATCTTGCTCTTCTGTTGGCTTCTCTGTATCTAGACATAATAAAAGGGGGCTAGTCTCTTGGTCTTGATCTTCATTACAACCTTGATCCATGCCAATGTCGCCACCATCATCTTCACCTCCCTCTAACAAACCTGCATCAGCATCAGGATCGATTTGCTTGGCATGTTTGTGTTCTTGTTGTACTTCTTCACCCTTTTTGGTCACATAACGCACATAAGCTTCATCAAGCATCTCCTCCAGTTGGTGTTCTTCATCAGAATCCATTTCTTCCATTTCCTGTAAAAGCTGAACATCATCTTTGACCTTTGGTGTAACCTGCGAAGATGATGGCAGCGCTTTCCTTATGCGTGTGCGCCACTTCAAGATATGCTTGAAGCTATTTTTGTCCAACACCTGCAAATCCTCACAAAGGTATTTTACCTCATCTGTGGTGAGCTCATGGTTCTTGATAGGCAGAGATGCAGGATCATTAAATGAAATCTTAGTAAAAGAACCCAGAAAATCCCGGGGTTTCTGCACTTCGGACCATATAAAATCTGATGCCAGACCGACTTTCTCCAGTACCGTGACTCCAGGCGCATACCCGCCACGAGTTCTCTTCTTTGCATTCTTAGGATCAAGTACATCCGTAGGCATGCTCTTCTCTGGATCCACATTGAACAGGTGCTTGATATCCAGAAGCTCTGGTTGAATCTTTGCGGGGGCTTTGTACTTCAGGCAGATGATGTAAATTTCAGCGGATGTGCCGCGACTCGCTCTAGGTTTAGTCACCTCGACCTTATCAAACAGCTGCTTCAGGCAGAACATGATAGCACTGTAATCCTGAGACCTGAAGACCTTGGTGATGAAGGTGCCCTTGGGGGCGAGGAACACGGTGGCCAGGCGAACGGCGTCGATGACGAGCGCGGACTGCGCGGTGGCCTCCTGCGCCCACGCGCCGCCGACGTTGGGCGAGCCGTCATGGAGGACGACGTCGAAGGCGGCGACCCCCTTGGAGTCCATGAGCCTCCGCACGGCGGAGCGGCACTTGGTGGTGGTGATGTCCTCCGTGAGGGAGTGCGCGCCGCGGACGGGGCGGATGGGCACGAGGTCGACGCCGACGACGAAGGCGCCGACGGGGGCGCGGGCGACGGCCACCTGCATCCAGCCCCCCGGCGCCGCGCAGAGGTCGAGCACGGCGCGCGCCGCCGGGAGGAACCGGAAGCGGTCGTCGAGCTGCTGCAGCTTGAAGGCCGCCCGGCTCCGGTAGCCCTGCTCCTTGGCGAGGTGGTAGTACTCGTCCTGCCGCTGCTTCCCCTTCGCCTTGCCCATCGCCGCCGCCGCCGCCGCCGCCGAGTTCGATTCCTTCTGATACTTTTATCAAAAAAAAAAAGCGCGTGATATTATATGGGCCTGGCCGATTTTGCTATGCCAGCGGCTCATCGTGTCGGCCCAGTGCAGGACCGGCCTTCCAAATTCGGACTGAGCCTTCCAAATCCTCAATTATGGCTGCTACGGCGTCGCCGATTCCGGCGCCGTGGTCAGAACTCCCGCACGACGTACTAGACCTCGTCATCGACCGCCTCGTGTCCTCCCCTCCACGGAGAGGCTTCTTCTCCTCGGCGTGGTCGCTAGTCCGACTTCAACAAGGTGCGAAGCTACCGTCGTCGTTAGGTCTTTGCTGATCTAGCTCGCTTCCGTGCGGTGTGCTGTTCGTGGCATCTGGCTATGCGCCGGCACCTTTCGTCTTCACGGCAGCTACCTTGGATTGTCATGTTAGACGGCTCGTTCTACACATCTTCGGATGCTGTTTGCACCTCGCCGCCCCGGCTCCCCACCTTGCCCGGCAACACAACATGCATTGGCTCCACCGACGATTGGCTCGCCTCGACTTCACCGACGTCAAGAAGATGCATAGCTACTCCTTGCACAATCCGTTTACTGGCACCACCGTGCCACTCCCCGAGTTGGATGCTGTCATCGGCGATGTTTACGAGCTTTTCATGGTCCGCAAAATGCTTCTACAGTCAACACCTTCTAACATCATCGCTGTCATGACCAATAACTATAATCACCCTCTCATCTTAGTCCAAACATGGAAGGGTGTGTGGTTGCCTGAGCCACAAACTGCCCCCTTCATCTACATCGTTGACATTGCTTTTCTTGGAGATAAATTATATGGAATTCCGGAGGCGGAGGACCTTGTCTCCCTCGGTATAGATTTTGATAGGGATGGTATACCCGCCGTTACTAGCATCGAACGCCTCATTAATTAGACACCCACCAGGTTATTATCATTTCGGCATGTGGAGTGATGATAATGATGACTTTGAGTCCGGAATCAATGATGTGGGCAATAAGGACAAGGTCACGAATATTGATGAAGGCCATATCGAGGTACCAAGCAATGAAAATCCCGAGGAGCACACCTTAGATGAACTTCGAAAGAAAACCGGCGATGACATGATTCTTGAAGGCGCAACATGCTGGTTAGATGATGAGGTGCCATATGAACCTAAGGATATCGTCACTCTCAATCGGCACTTGGTTAAGTCACGTGAGAAACTGCTAATGGTGAAGCGACAATTGCATTAGCCTTCTTATAGTATCAACTTCACCCGCAAGGTGGAGGTCTAGGAGGCGGATGTCAATGGAGGCGCACACTGGGTGCCGATTTCAGGTGGGCTGGGCAGTCAAGCGCTTTCCATCAGCAGATTCTTCTGCAAGTCCATTTCTACTCGTGAAGACGTGGACCAAGATGCTCTTCATTTTATTGACACGGGTGAGAAATATGATATGAAATCCCAAAGTCTGAGCCCCACCTGGAAGGAGATTGACTACCATGGGTCAACATGGATATTTTCTCCCGAGCTAGTAGTTTAATATCTTTGTAACAATATATGATTAGTTAGAACGGTGACTGCCAACATATTTTCTCCAAATCAGTGGTTTAATAATTTACTATGTAACGGTATAAGGTATAAGATCAAGTTTTGTTTGGGTGTAAGTTCAAATTTTCATTTGTGTGAGAAAGGTTCACAAGGCTATTATGCTTTTAATATGATAGTAGTATATATAACAAAAGGGCGTTCGCTGCCGACCTGAAAAGGGTATTCTCTACCGACCTACTGCAGAAAGGACCGATTCACGAGGCTACAAAAAAGTCTTATATTTTGAGACAGGGATAGTAGCTTTGTAAGGTTCGAATTCTTCCTTTAGTTTCCTAGAAATCTAGCTAATAACCATGGACCGTACTCCTTCCTCCTATATATACCTACGTACCCCCAAACTACCAGATACTGAGCCAAAACCCTAATTCCACCACCGTAACTTTTTGTATCCACGAGATCCCAACTTGGGGCCTTTTCCGGAGCTCCGCCGGAGGGGGTATCGATCATGGAGGGCTTCTACATCAACACCATAGCCCCTCCGATGAAGTGTGAGTAGTTTACTTCAGACCTATGGGTCCATGGTTATTAGCTAGATGGCTTCTTCTCTCTTTTTGGATCTCAGTACAAAGTTCTCCCCCTCTCTTGTGGAGATTTATTCAATGTAATCTTCTTTTGCGGTGTGTTTGTTGAGATCGATAAATTGTGGGTTTATGATCAAGTTTATCTATGAACAATATTTGAATCTTCTCTGAATTCTTTTATGTATGATTGGTAATCTTTGCAAGTCTCTTCGAATTATCAGTTTGGTTTGGCCTACTAGATTGATCTTTCTTGCAATGGGAGAAGTGCTTAGCTTTGGGTTCAATCTTGCGGTGTCCTTTCCGAGTGACAGTAAGGGCAGCAAGGCACATGTTGTATTGTTGCCATCGAGGATAACAATATGGGGTTTATATCATGTTGCATGAGTTTATCCCTCTACATCATGTCATCTTGCTTAAAGCGTTACTCTGTTCTCTTGAACTTAATACTCTAGATGCATGCTGGATAGCGGTCAATGCGTGGAGTAATAGTAGTAGATGCAGGCAGGAGTCGGTCTACTTGTCTTGGACGCGATGCCTATATACATGATCATACCTAGATATTCTCATAACTATGCTCAATTATGTCAATTGCTCAACAGTAATTTGTTCATCCACCGTAATACTTATGCTCTCGAGAGAAGCCTCTAGTGAAACCTATGCCCCCCGGGTCTATTTTCCATCATATTAATCTTCCAATACTTAGTTATTTCCTTTGCCATTTATTTTACTTGCATCTTTATTTCTCTTTATCATAAAAATACCAAAAATATTATCTTATCATATCTATCAGATCTCACTCTCGTAGCTGGCCGTGAAGGGATTGACAACCCCTTTATCGCGTTGGTTGCGAGGAGTTTATTTGTTTGTGTAGGTGCGAGGGACTCTTGCGTGGCCTCCTATTGGATTGATACCTTGGTTCTCAAAAACTGAGGGAAATACTTATGCTGCTCTATTGCATCACCCTTTCCTCTTCAAGGGAAAACCAATGCAATGCTTAAGAGGTAGCAAGGTGTTATCCCGAAGGATCTCTCCCGGCCGCGGAGGGGCGGGCGAGGCTGTCGAAAAAGCGCCCGAGATTAATACCTCGGTCATCAAGGACATAGGGGAGGCGACCCCTATGACAACCGACGGGGGGACCCCAACAATCTGGGCCCCAGCCGGACATCATTCCGGAGACCAATGCGGTTTCGGGATCAATTGAGTGGCCCCCTTCAAAAGAGGAGGGAGGAACATCAGCTCCGCCAGTGACCTCCGCTAATCCGAAGGCGCCAAACGCTCTAGCGGAAGCACTGCGACGTGCTTCCATCGTGGAGGAGCACCGCACCTTGATGGGTGCAGTGGTGGAGAAGGTTCAGTCTGCAAAAAGCAGACTGAATGAAGCCTTCAACGGCCTACTGACTGGCTTTGAGGTATGCAACGTAATGTTCCAAACATTTTTGTTTCATATAGAGGAATATATCTGTATATAGACAGTTGCCCCTGAGGCTCTGTCCGGCTGGAAAGAAACCGGACAGAGGATCCACATGGTATTCGGGAGTTTTAACATACTACTCTGTTGTTGTAACGGGCTTCCCTGTTGGCGGTGACCGCCCAGGCCGCCGAAGTGACCGTAATCAATCAAAAGCTTCAGGTGGCCGATGAAGAAATCGACCGCATTAACAAGCGGTTCGATGAGGCACAAGGTAAATGTGTAAAAAATTTACTTGGAAGTGATATATATCTTCAGAGGTTAACTCATTTAATGCTTTGATTATGATCATAGTTAGTGCAACCAAGGTCTAGACCCTCAAAGGTGCCCTTGCCCAAGCCCAGAAAGAGGCGAAGGCAAACAAGGCAGCCGCTGACAAAGCGGCTGCTGAACTGAAGACCGAGCAGGCCGCCCGCCATCAACTTGAAGCCCGAGTTACTGAAGTCGAGCAAGAGCTGAAGGATGCCATCAGTAAATGTGAGGATTTGGAGGAGAAGACTTCGACCCAATTGTCGGAACTTGCCAAAGCCCTCCAGGAGGCTAAAGAGGCGCGGGTCGAGTCCTGGAGTGCTCGCGAAGAGATCCGTCAGGCGAAGCAGATAGCGGTTGGTAAGGCCTTTCTCTTGCAGAGTATTTTTGGAGGTCAAAGATATGCTTTTCTCACTCGACTATGGAGTTCTCCAGACGCGTTTGCGGATCTGCCGAGGAGCGTCATCAATGCCGCACAGTTCTTTCGAGCTCAGGATGGGAATTCGACCGAAAAGCTATTCTGGTCGCAGTTTCTTGCGCCGGAACACCCGACGCCCCTGAACGACCAGTTGAAGCAGCTGATGGAGCTGCATAGGGTGGACGGTTTGGCCATGAAGGATCTAATAGTCTAGCTATGGCCGGCCGAACCCATTCTCAGTAGCTATTTCGGTTTGGTGAAGCTACTCGTAGACGCGCTGCCTCGAATTGATGTTGTGAAGTGCTCGGCCTGCATAGAAGGTGCCCGGATGGTCTTCGCCCATGTTAAGATGCAATGGGCAAAGATGAAGGCCACTGATGTGGCGACCGCATGCCTGCCCGAAGGCAAAGATCATG